TGTAAAGTTCGATGTAATTAACATTGAATCGCCATACTTCGATACATTTTCTTCTTCAGCTTAACATAAACGCACTGACAAAAATGGTTCAACACATTTCAGCTAAGAGAATTGAGAAACCATGGCCACGCTACTACAGTTTCCACGTCCTTCCCAGGACCCCACGCTGCGCGGAAATTCATTGAACTGGACCCTGGCATTCACATTCCGTGCTGTTCTCATATCCTTTTCAACCTGAACAGGGTCCGCCTTGCGGCCAGTTCGCTCATCAATTTCAAACTTGGCTGTAAGATATTCTTTAACCTCACGAGAAAACCGGATGGAACCTGCGTGGGCCTTGCTTAGTGCCCATCCCATCTGCAGGGTTTCTACGTCAGTTGATGATTCGGACGCCAACATAAATGGTGTAGATTTTTTCACAGCCACATCCACTGATGTAAATTTTGTTGCCCAGTCCTTTCTGATCTTGTTTACTCAAGTCTGGGCTTAGAGAAGATAATGTCACAGTTTTTCAAATTTCAATGACCATGAAAGTCAGAGTCCGGGTTTTTAGTTAATCAATTGTGGCTCTGAAAAAAATTTGAAGCAAAAAAACTACGAATTTTTAAGAAAATGCTGTTTTCGTGAGAAGGCTCTTAAACGCTGACAAACGTCAACAAATAGCAAAAACTATAATTTCTATATGTTTGCTTTGCTCGAAATCGCGCGCATTTACAAGGCCCTAAAGCTCTTTGCTGACTTGCAAGGACCCATGTGTTATAACGATGCCCAGAATAAAGAGATGAATCTCATAGTTTATTAGATATAATCGTGTACAGTTTGCTTATCATTTTCGCATAAATTATGACCTAAATTTGGAAACCGCTGAATTTCTCGAATTGGGTCTTTGCGATTTTGGTTGGGCAAGGCACTAATGCGCACTATGTGTAGCCGAGAAATTTTCACGAAAAAATACCGGCAACAGCAGATTTTTGACTCAGACCTCAAAGGGGCGTGGCATTATAACCACATGACATTTACTCCGATCGCCAAAAATTTTATCTTATATTGTAGATTGATCTATACGTTATACATTCTATGTGTTAGACTTACGATAAAAGTAAAGGTGGGGATACCAGAGAGCTTCAAAGTAGGATGGTACCCCCCCCCCAAAAAAAACTGGGTCGAGTCACCTTAAACACACCTTGTCTCTTCATATTCCCCTAATTTATCACTCTCAGTGTTTTCCCCTCGCCAACGTTTATTTTCCTCATATTTTTGTCTTTGCTTCTTGACACAAGTAGTGCAAATTGCTGTGCATTAAAAAGTATCACAATGATGAATTTAACTTTTAGTCAAAGTCGATTCGTAGCGTAAAACTTATTTTTAGAACCAACACTGAATTGATAATTGACAACTGGCAAAATAAACTCAAAGCAGTTTTTAATCTCGCGGTTAGGTCTTGAGGTGTCGGAAAAATAGTTTTCAGGATATAGCATATAGCAGGGTTAAAAAACGTTTCAAATACAAAATCCCCGATACTCACAAAATAGGGTTTTTAAAGAAGGGGAACATTGCCAAGTGTTTCGCATAATTTCGTGGGTCACGTGCATGTAGGCTACTTTACCGAAATTATCTCTTACTTTGAAAAATAGAACGCTATGAATCAACGTAAAAAATAGACAGTCCTGTAAAGACATTCTAAGCACCTTTTAAATCTCGCAAAAATCCAGGAATACTTGTGTATTTTTGAACGTCTGTGTTGTAACAAATATACTTGTCCTAATTATACTAACGCGCTTGACCAAACAATGTAAAACAAGAATGTTCATTTCATACTTGTTATTTACTCAATCCAAGATTTCTACACTTACATCGTGGCACTGTTGCCAAAAAAATATAACTGGTTATGATATAAATAGCCGGAAAAATAAACACCTTATGGAACGATTCCCTTTCAAGGTTTTACAACAACGTTGAATGGTTATTCCCTCGACCTTCTCTTTTGGTCTTTATTTATAATTAGATTTAAAGTTTGTTACACAATTCGGAATACTTGACCATGACATTTACCTTGGTTTTAAGAGTTCTTTTATTCTATTGAAAGTTAAAAAGTAAAGGCGCCTCACATACGTCGGTACTTCGAAATGATCATTTCATCATTATCTGAAAGACAAACCTTTTAAACGCCCTCTTCATCAGTACTCCGTTTTACGGGTATTTAAGCTACTTGAAGCTACACGGAAAGAATTTCTCACACCTGGCCATGGACATCAATCTCAAGACCTCTCACACAGAAGACTCCAAGGGCTACGCAATAACCAACTGTGTCAATCGTTGCTCCTCAAAAAAGGGAAAACGTAAAATATTGTGTAGTAGAATGCTTACCTGACCCAATGGGAATTGTGATTCCAAAAATTGCGTGAATATTCTTGGACATCTCCAAGTTGATAACATGATTATTTTTTAGCTTTTTCCTTGCTCCTGAATGAAGAGGATATCGACATGTCCTCAAAGGACGCCAGTTGCGACCCAAATTATGTCTGTGTTTTGGACACACGAACATTTCTTCTTGCCGGTGTTTTGGCACATCGAATAGCCCCGCCCTGACTAGTATCAGTTCGTACTCCATCATTCCAGATAGTTTTGAAAGATGGCATGTCTTCAAGTGGATCGTTATATCTTCCTGGCATTCTCGCAACCTACATACTGTATCCGAACCTCGAAAACCTCCACAACTAGATTTTCCGAAGCCCGAGAAAGAACACTTTACTGTATCAGTAGCCATGTTACCCCTTGTTTGATTTGTGTCCAGTCCAGAAGGACTGGGGATGAAATACAAAAAAAGTCACGCAAATTTCAACTTTAATCTGAACTGGTTTAAATCGCCTTGTTAGCGACTCGTCGCGTTTTATTTGCAAAGAAAAGTGTTTTATTTGCTCTACAAATTTCCCCGCGATGTCTTAAAGAGTAATCTCAATGAACAAGATTGCATCCAACTAATTTTAGCAAAAGACCTTTCAGGACGGTGTCACGAACCAGTCACGCTGGCGGATACTGCCATTTTATAAACAAGATAACTTCTTGAAACGGACCAAGGACATGGAATCAACGGCCAATATAGTTTCAGATGATTAAGAAATAACCTTAAAATGTGAAAGAACTTGGATAAGACCCATCAAGCCATCAAATGAAGTTGGACTTTGACAAGAAGATCGACAAGGCGAGTGTTCGTTAATTATCTGGTTTACGAAATTTCTGGAAATTCAAACGGCGGCCTATTCTGAAAACGTGGAGAGCACAAAAATGTTATTCCTTGTTGAGTTTTATTATCATTCCTAGATTGTATTCATACAGATAGCGAAGTTCAGACAGGTGCCACACTTTTTAAAATTACCCTCAAAGTTGAGCTACTTTCGTGTTTAGATGGAAAGCCGAAAACACGTGCTGGGGAAAAAATCATTGCCGTTGGAAATAAACAAATAATTCGGAACTGTGATACGGCTAGGAAATCTACAGTGGTGTATCTGTATACGGAAAAGAAAATCAGTCTTTTTAAGCCAGGTATTTGTTTTCTAGAGCGCGGTCAATATTAGCGATTTTCGCACTTTGAACGGCTATGGCGCCGGCGCTGACCGCCCGGAAATTCAAAAATTCGTAAAAAAATATATTTATCACTTTCGGTCAAACGAAATGCATTTTTGCAACTACTAAGGTGGAGGCTTAAATATCCGAGAATATAAGGAAAATTAATTTTTTGATCCAAAATCACTGGTCGGTTTTTACGGAGACACGCTCTTAATAACCTGTCACGAACACTAATCGACGTAGAAGTGACTACTGCACGTAACAAGTCGGGGTTATTCAGTCGAATGTCACTTTCTCCTTTTTTTTTCTTACTTCTGCCATCAACACTTTTACGCAAAACGAAATTACCTTAATTATATGGCATTTGACATCAACCTTTTCTTAAACTATTTCAGACTCCATGTATGTCATCACCTTGTCAGAACGGAGGCACCTGTGTAGCGAACTATAAGTATCACTCGTTCGACTGCCGTTGCAAAGAAGGGTTCTATGGAGAATTTTGCGAAGAAGGTAATTGATATTTAGACCGGGACCCCCGTTCAAGTTAGGACAACCCAACTTAGCGGCTTTACCTAAAATTTATCTTGGAAAATTTTAAAGGCGTTGTGACGTGTACGTCAACATTGATGTTACCATGGCAACCGAGTTTTGACAGCCATGGTTTTCAGAATTTGCTTTTTCTCTAAACAAAATAGGTTTAAATTCATTTCTTTTTTAACTGATTGATTTATTACGTTATCTACTTTTTTTTACAGTTGCCAAGTCCTCATGCCAAGATGTTTATAATCAGCTCACAGAAAAGTGGGTAAACCTATGCATAGTAATTTAATTGATGAGGATAGATCACTTAAAGTCCGGGGATCATTCGGAGTGCGTCAGTACTGTGTTTATAAGCCAAAAATCAGCCGTCAGGCCTCAAAAAACGGAATACAATTGTGTTGCAGGGAAAGTCGATATCACTTAATTAATTGTACATGTTAGAATTCGTATCGTGGCTGATGAATTCTATTTCAGCCTTTGTTCTCCACTCTGGAAACTTAGGGTTATTAGAGACCTAAACTTGTAAAAACTGTTGAATTTTTAAAACAAATGATTGGTACTGTTAAGATAATAAAAACCATAATCTGTGAACACCACCATCCTGCAATGAAGGCCCTCCAGCAAAAAAAGTTGTTGATGAAATGCGGTTGAACCCCGCCGTTTCGTTTAATACGAACACCCGTATAAAACGAATGATTCGTTTGTACCGACAAAAGTTCAGATATTTCAGTGCTCATAAGTAAACCTGGTTAATATGGAAAACAAACACTTTTCTTGTGTCCCGAGTCCCAAACTGTCATATAATAATTATCGTAAACTTCCCCGGAAGGTCCTCAATTAAGTTTTATAGGGCAAGCTTAGCCCTGGGTCTAACTCCTTACGTTTTATGCCCATCATTTTTGCAGAAAAGGTACTCCTTTCGTATACCATTCCATTCGTCTCTAATGGTTAAAGGTTCGAGTGGCTTGTTGCAGGCACTTCATCCCCAGGGGGTACTCAACAAATTTTTACGGTGATAATCCCTGCCCCGAGGTCCACGTCCTTACCTTTTCACATACCTTTTGGCGGTTGAGGGGTGGAGTGGCTTGTTACAGGCACTTTATCCCCAGGGGGTACTCAACAAATTTTTACGGTGATAATCCCTGCCCCGAGGTCCACGTCCTTACCTTTTCACATACCTTTTGTCGGTTGAGGGATGGAGTGGCTTGTTACAGGCACTTTATCCCCAGGGGGTACTCAACAAATTTTTACGGTGATAATCCCTGCCCCGAGGTCCACGTCCTTACCTTTTCACATACCTTTTGGCGGTTGAGGGGTGGAGTGGCTTGTTACAGGCATTTTAAAATGAGCTCAGACCATACAAGGGCCAATGGGAAGAAAGACTGCCTTATCAAAATCAAACTTGCACGCTATTTTAATTGGAGTTTCTTTTTTTTTAGTAACAAAATCGTATTAACCCACAGAAATCTGTAATTATTTGAAAAAGGTTCATTGTATGCAATTAGTGCGTGGTTGTGACAAGGAAATAGACCGTGGCAGCTATAGGTAGCCAGTGGTCACCAGTGTCCATAAAGCGGGGTTGACGACATGAGATTTTAAGTCTTCGGAACACAGAAAAGTGTCCGTTCTCCGTCTCAACCGTTGTCCTTATTAAACGGGTTGGAGAAAGTACGTGAGCTTCAATAATTAAAACATGCAAAACTGACTACTGAATATCTGTGTAACATGTTCTGAGTAGTTGTCAAGAAAAACCAATCCAAGTCTTACATGTAGCTCGCGCGTAAAACAGGGGTCCTTTGCCGTCAGATGGGAAAAACATCATGCGCACCTTTTTCGCGGTTTTTCGGTCGCCCCTTTCGCCTTCCCTCTGAACATCTGCTACGCTGTTTAGCCATCTTCGATGTCCGAATTTAATTGCTACAGAACACTTTAGTCAAATACACTTTATTAAAGTTAGGTGAAGAGCATGCAGCACAGCTTGGTATTATAATGCAAAAATAAATATCAACCTGTGCTTGAGGTGAAATTATATCAGTCCAAAGTACATTAATCGTGTAGTAGCTCCTAGTAACATGATGGGGAACCTGACAAATTTAGATTTGACTGAGATTGTACTGAATTCCATTCATTTATTTTTGTAAGAAAAAGAGAACCTTTTTTTTTTTACAACCAGTTAAGGTACATTCCATTTTTTTCTCTCCGACAGTTGGGAGCTGGAAAAATTAAAATGAGATTTCATTTTGTACAGGTTGAACGTGAGTCGGTTGGTCACTCTCCTCCTTGACTCCAAACTAGTTTCAGTTCTCTGTCACTTTGGAAATTTTGGATGCGGCGATGGAGGATGGACACCGGTCATGAAGATGGACGGCAACAAGGTAAGACATTTGTGTACGTTTTCCCTTAGTTTGGCGACGAGAGTGGAAAAAAAAAATAAATACAGGTTTGCCTCTGTCAGAGGTAATTTTCAACAGGGGCACCCAACGAGGATATAGTTCAAAACCACTTAACATAGCATTGTTGAACGTATTTTAGTTTTCAAACGGTAGATATAGGCATATTTTTATCCCCTAAAAACGTTTCATCTGTTCGGATTTCCTAGCTGAAAATCTAGTGATCCGAAAATGATAGGGATAAAAACTTACCTTTTTATTCTATCGGTGACCATTAACGTCATTTTGCGTGCTGTGGCTAAATTGTCATTTTATAAAGCTGGAGAAGTGAGGACATTGCAGATATTCTTTTCATTGTAATGGATCTTTCATTCTTTCTTTTTTCTTCTCCTGAAAGGATGTTATCTTTAGAAGAAAAAAGAAGCTTAAATTTCAACTTTTCTTTTTAAAGGACATTTTTGCTATTTCTTCCTCCTTTCTACCACAGCAAACATTTCATTACGAAACAGCCTTTTGGAGAAACAAAGAAACCTTTCACCCTGACGGAGGGAAAACTGGGTTTGACTCACAGGAAACCAAACTTCCCTCCTACTGGAACACATCCTTCTCCAAGATCTGCCTCGGTATGAAGATCAACAACCAGACCAATTTTATTGTCATTAACAAGCAGGCGAACTCCTTGTACTCTCTGATCGCTGATGGGCAATATCGCAGCACCTCACTGGGTCGTGACAAGTGGATGTCACTGATTGGTTCTAATGCCTCATTGCAGCTGAACTGTAAAAAGGAAGGGTTCAACGCAAAGTGTACCTTGAGTGGCCGTTCCAAAGCAAGAATCGGTATTCTCGGCAACGATCAAACAGATTGCCATGAATGTAACTCCAGATTGGGGTTTGGGAGTGAAGGGAACTACGATGATAGGCGGAATACATGTGGAAATTTGGATAACCACAAAGGAAAAAGACTGAGCATCAAGACAATGGGGTATATACTGGTGCAGTGATAACAATGCTCCTTTACATGTCTTTGAGCGAGTAGTGGGAATATGTTATACCCGAAGCATATAAGCCCGATTCGGGTTATATGCTTCTGATTCTTCACAGTCCCTTTAACGATACCTCATCGTTACGATGATGAGTAGAAATAAGTTTAGTTATAGACAAACCTTATACACGTCTAGACCTAACGATTTTTTCTGTCGAGGCATGTGAACAGACAACCAGTGGGGATCATGTTTGTAATGTTTGTCCAAGAATGTTAAAGAGCGGTTCTTGGTGTGTATAAAAGTAGAAGTGCTCGGATAATTTGCTCTCCTATTCCTTGCCATTGAAACCTGTGGAATTGAAGAAACGTTTTTAACAAGAACTTAAATCTAAACGTTTCTCAATGTAAGAAAGCTACTTAAAAACGAAGAAATATATAATAATAAACTAATATAATAAACTTTATTTCTCAAACTGCGATCATATCCAGTGGTTGCACAAAAGACTGAATCAGATTTAAGGCAGCCAACCGGTCTGAGGGAGGCACTTTAGGACTGAGACTGTTGCTACACACAGATAGTCCGTTGGGAAGACTGATGTGTGATGGGTTGAAAGTGATAAAAGAGGCAGTGGCGATTCCCACCAACAAAGACACGTCCCCTACACTTTTCCTATAGTAATGTAGGTTGTTTAACCTCACCTTCAAATTTTAAAATACCGTATTTCCTCGAATAATAGCCGTCCCTCGATTAATCGCACCCCTCGAATCAATTACCCCTCTTAGACGGAAATATTGAAGACAGGCTCCTCCCTCGAATAAACGCCCACTCTCCACCTCTCTCGCCATCTTCTCTTTCTGTTATACCCTCCCGGTCAACTTGAAGTGGCGTCTGATCCAGCAGAATGATCAGTGACAATTCAATTAAGTTCTGATAGAGGATATTGACGCTGAAAATTAATCAAGGAACCAAATTTGGAACACTTAAAAAGACCATGTTCAGTTTTTCTGATGTGATCATTTTTCGATTTAATGGGATAATAAAACAAAAGGACACGACTTCCAAAATTTTGAATAATCGCCTCCCTCGAACAATCGTTTGTCTCCTCGAATAATCGCCCCGGCTATTATTCGAGGAATTATGATAAATGAGGGAAAAATTAATGAGACGAGGCAAACGGCTTAATGACACCGCCAAATAATGCTGTCATCTAACCTAAGTCATGGTCACTATACACGGCCAGCATTATCTTGCCAGCATTTTGCTTATTATTAGCAAATCTGAGCTAACAGGCCGAGAAGTGGTTACATGCATGCATACAAGACAGCGAAGGAGGAAAGACGTGGGCGAGCGAGGAGCACCAGACGCGCGTATCTCACGCCACTCGCACGAAAAACGCGAAAAACCAGTACCTGTTCTACAGGCTGATAATAAGAAAACAGGAAGAGGTACTGAGATTTTAGAAAAGAACAGGGACAGGGCGCTTTCTTTATAATGGGCTCGTGTTTGTAGCACCACTTCACAACCTTTGGAGATGTAGATGGATTCTGACAACAGTAATAAGCGGTATACAAAAATAATGATACACGACGCAGATGTAGTATAGAGTGTTTTCGCTAACGTGGCCAGCATCTATGCAAATTTATTAGAACAAAAGAAAGCGTTTGCATAAGAAAAGAGTTCAACTCCCACAGGACTGGTTTGGGACACCAACATGGCCGTCGTTTCATTGTTTTGGGACACCAATATGGCCGCCGTGACGTCATGTGAAAACACTCTATAGTAGTAAGGAGCATAAGCAAAGACCACGGCTACGAGCTCGAGAACGCCACTTAATTAAAAGGTGCATTCGCTCTGCCTCGAACGTTTTCGTGCTCATTCCATCTCGTTTAATTCGTTAAATGATGGCAAATTGTTTTTGGAGTTGAATTCTGAAGGACTGTATCAAAGTTCAGGAAAAGAAAAAAAGAAAGTTGTTGTCTTGTGTCCCCGTCCTCGACAAAACGTGAAATTAGACACTTTCACGTTATAGTCGTGTAACAACGTGCAAAGTTGTTGTTTTGCCAATCTAAACCTATTGCTCTTTTTGCCTTTCTCGTTGCCGTGGCCGTCGTCGTTGCTTAACAGGCTTAAGCTCCCTAATGATGACTGCTTTTTTTTTTCGTTTTTGTAGAAATCAGAAAAAAAAGTGTGAAAGTAATCAAGATCTGTAAGGGAGCGGGGAAGGGGATCCTGCAGTCCCACATTCCCACTTCCGAGTTTTTTTACGAAAATACCTCATCTCGCCATTTTTTCATCGCTTTTCCAAATCTCCTTGGTTGTTTCCAAAAAAACAATGCTTTAAGTAAGAATAATTGTTGCATTAGGCATCAAGTCGTTAACTGGCATGGTATGCTATTGCGCCACGCGCACTTCCCTAAGACCTTGCAACCATAAGACTCGCTATCATGCTGAATTTATATTAATAAATCGAAAGTGGCTAATTGAAACAATGGGTTTCCTGTTCGCTTTTGATTATTTTTTTTACTGTCAATTAGAAAATTATTAACATTGGAAACCATGCACAACCTACAGATTAGTTAGTTATCTGCTAATCTACCACCCAGTGCTAGCAGATAACTAACTGTACTTTGCGTTGATTTCCAAAATTAACTGTAACTGTAGGGTCTTAAGCTTGGCCAAGGAGCAAATAGACAGTAAGTATAATGTCTAATAATTCAATTAAACAAAAAAGGGTTAAAAATCCCAACGGCCGGCAAACCAAGTTGGCTATTTACAAGCGTTATCGAGGGTTTGAACCAGGGACTACCGACAGCGAGAATCCATCTTGAAATACTGTTGTTTCCAGGACGAAAAACAGTTTTCCATATTCTTAAAAATAATGGTAATTTTATTTTTTGCTGAGTAATATTGCACAGTCTCTCATTCTGGAATTTTTCGCTGAAATGATTCGAACCATTTCTACGTTCAAAAACTCATAAGTGATTCATAGCGAAAAACAAAAGAAATTTTATGTTTAACGAGTGTCTTTATATTCGATAAAGATGCGGTTAAACTGTACGTCCAAGTTTTTATAAGACCAAAATAACCCCAAATCTACGTATTAGTGCAAGAATCAGTTGATATATATCAGAGATTTTGAAGCCGTTCAAAATACTCGCGGAAGTGTATTACCAGGTGTAAAAACTCTCGGCTTCGCATCGAGTTTTTAAACCTGATAATACACTCCTGCTCGTTTTTTAAACTGTACGTAAAACCGTCATGTTAACCCAAGCGATTTAATTCAACGATATGGTTCATTTTTAATAAACATTTAAAAATCAACAGTAGTCGACAAATAATTTTCAATATAAATTATCTAGCACTATCAGGCGTCTTTGCCAACTGTGATAATAGGAAATTCTAGCAACGACGAAGGCGACAGCAACGAGAACGTCAAAAAAAAAACATTAGGTTTATCGAGCAAAACAACAAGTTTGCATTTGTGTACATTTCTTTGCCTTTGTGCTCGACTACGACGTGACAATACCTAATTTTACGTTTTATGGAGGATTTTAGTCGCTGAAAAACTCTATGTTTTTTTTCAAGAGCGGCGTAAATATCTGTCTTGAGTAAAATCCTACTAGTGGTCTGTTATCAATGCTGCGTTCTGATTGGTTGAGCTACTACTAGGCTATATGTTATAGCCCAACAGTAGCGAAAAGCGCCGGCTTTGAAAACCAAAACAATGGCGGCTGAATGGCGTTTTGCTAGCTTAAGTTGTTTTGTCTCGAAACTTTTGACCAACTAGTTGGATTTTACTGAAACAATTATTCCAGTACCCATTCGGGCTCGAGGAATAATTGTTAATTAGAAAGGGTGAAAACGGTTTTAGCTTGGCCGCATAAGATTAAACTCTCTTTCCTTTTCACCTGTTTGAAGTCTTTTCGTGAGTTTATACACGCACGGTACTCGCTGTCAGTAAATTTTTCAAAATGCTGCACTTCAGCTACGATTTCTTAGGTAAAGCTATTCTGCTTCTCAAGGATTTTAAGAGACTCCTCAGTTTTTAACCAATTTTACCGGCAAGAGAACGGGGTATACAATTAACCAAAATATAATTCTTTGGTGTTAGAAAGTATGGGTACGAAGACGAGAGTGAAAAAAAGCAAAATATAGATTATGTTTTATAAACAGATAAACGTAAACACTTAATAACCTTTCTACATGTCTCTTGAAGTCTGGAACTTCCTTCAAAGGGTGATATTTGAACGCATGTCACCGAGACCAAAACAAACAAAGTTTTCAGTATGGATTAATCAAGAGGTTAAATTTGGTAGTAGAAACATTACGGAAACACAAAGGAAGACATATTTTAATAAGCATTGTTTAAGTTAAGTTAGGACTTCTTTTCAAAGGAATTCCAATTCTAACGTTTCCCGCATGTGGCAATCCGTACCGTTAATTTGAGTAACGTTCCTTTGCTTATTACATACCTGTCACATACATAGAATTACATTCTTTATTGAGACTCCCTTCAACAGGGCTTTTCAATGTTAACTATTACATGATGTAATAATGTTGTGTTGCATGTTAACTATTACATGTTGACTATTACAACGATGGAATTCCCAAGGACTTGTTTTCGTGCAGTTGCGATTCGCTCGACCCCGCAATAACACTTCTTAAGCACTTCGGCCCTGGTGCTCTTATGAGTAAACTGGACCTCTCTGCATGACGCCTTTCGCCACGTCCTTTTTCATGACGGGGACTGGGAACTACTCGGATGCACATGGCCGGTGAAGATTGATGGTACCGTTGTTACTGGTTATTTCTTTGACACTTTTTGTCCTTTTGTTCTTCGGAGTTCGACCGCTCTATTTCTAAAATTCGTCGACGGGCTCAAGTTTGTTATGTCATTTCTGGACTTGCGGCCCGCCTTCTCCTTCTCCACACTGCCAGAATTCGCTTGATGTTAAGCTGAGAACGTGCGATGAGCTTGGTTTCAAAATCAACCCTGATAAAACAGTTCAACCGAACAT